CAAATAACCCAGTGAAGAAATGGGCAGAAAACATGAATAGACACTTCTCTAAAGAAGACATCCGGATGGCCAACAGGCACATGAAAAGATGTTCAGCGTCGCTCCTTATCAGGGAAATACAAATCAAAACCACACTCAGATATCACCTCACGCCAGTCAGAGTGGCCAAAATGAACAAATCAGGAGACTATAGATGCTGGCGAGGATGTGGAGAAACGGGAACCCTCTTGCACTGTTGGTGGGAATGCAAATTGGTGCAGCCACTCTGGAAAGCAGTGTGGAGGTTCCTCAGAAAATTAAAAATAGACCTACCCTATGACCCAGCAATAGCACTGCTAGGAATTTACCCAAGGGATACAGGAGTACTGATGCATAGGGGCACTTGTACCCCAATGTTCATAGCAGCACTCTCAACAATAGCCAAATTATGGAAAGAGCCTAAATGTCCATCAACTGATGAATGGATAAAGAAATTGTGGTTTATATACACAATGGAGTACTACGTGGCAATGAGAAAGAATGAAATATGGCCCTTGGTAGCAACGTGGATGGAACTGGAGAGTGTGATGCTAAGTGAAATAAGCCATACAGAGAAAGACAGATACCATATGGTTTTATTCTTATGTGGATCCTGAGAAACTTGACAGAAACCCATGGGGGAGGGGAAGGAAAAAAAAAAGAGGTTAGAGTGGGAGAGAGCCAAAGCATGAGAGACTCTTAAAAACTGAGAACAAACTGAGGGTTGATGGGGGGTGGGAGGGAGGGGAGGGTGGGTGATGGGTATTGAGGAGGGCACCTTTTGGGATGAGCACTGGGTGTTGTATGGAAACCATTTTGACAATAAATTTCATATATTGAAAAAAATGGGCTGGAGATGTGACTGGTCTCACATTTGACTTACCTGACAGGTAGAATTACTGGAGAATTACCCCTTCTCCCAGAGAAGAACATTCTGTGAGGTCTTCCTACCACATGGGAAACAAGAAATATATCCATGAAGCAAGGAGTCAGAAAGATCCGGGAGCCAGGAGAGTGGCTCTGATCCTGCAGAGTGCATGTTCCACTTGAGGATGAGCAAGCTCAAGAAAGGGAAAGAATTATGACCTGGCTTGGAGTGGGCCACGTCAAACAAGAACTTTTAACACATTAACCTTTCTTAGTAGAGAAACAGACTTTCTGTCTCTCGGATTAAATAAGTCACTATCACCCCATGGCAAAGAGCCAGAAATGCAGGTAGAGGGAACAGCTACAGAGCCTCCTCCCACTATTTTCCTAAGAAGGTATAAGTGTTAGTGGAAGTTTCTATATTATAGGCTAAGATGAGAACAGAGGGAGAAGAAAAGAAGGGCTTCCCCTCTGCTGAGCAGGCACATCTGACTTTGTCAAATTTGCAAGCTTCGTATAGTATTAAAAACAAAGAAAAGCCCAAAGTATAAAACTGGCAAACATAAATGAGAGTTTGCCAGAAACGGACATTTACTTTTCCAAGATCCCAAGTCTAGAACTTTAGAAGAGGGGTTTTGCTTTACCATAAGTTTCCTTAGTAATTACAGCTGCCTGAAAATGTTACCTCATGTATAAATGAAGTGATTGATGAAGTGCTTTTGTCTGCAACATAACAAATACAGGCTAAAACTTATATAGTACAATGACCAACAAGACCAGAATGTCAATATTTTGTGACTATGTGAGTAGCTGGTAATGGAACCATGATGTGCTGAATCTTTATAATTCACTCTAATTTTTGAAGCTGATAATCATTTCATTCTATAATATGTTTCTTATTAGTTGTTTTCAGGGACATAATATTCAACTGCAAGAGCTATAGAACTGAACAATGCAGCCATTTACATATTCCTTATAATCTAATTTTTCCTTGTAGTATGTGCACAGAGTGCTTGCACATGAGCTGTTATGCCCTCAAGGAGGCCCCAGCTGTGAGTATTACTTGGTGCTGGCCCAGACACACCTTCTCAAGAAGGACTTTGCCAAGGCAGAGGAATACCTTCAACAAGCAGCCCAGATGGACTACCTGGTAATAGCTTTTGCTAGAATCTCTTGAGTTTAGTTTAGAAGAGGGGCAAGCAGCCTTCTTAGAGGTGGTGATGCCAAGTGATGGGTAGATTTCTAGTTACCAGAGTTAGAGGTCATCAACTATCACTAAACTCATGTATTTCCTTCCATTGTTTTTCTCAAGCAGTTATGAGTTTTGCAAAAGGCAGAGAAAAGGGTAAGGATAGCTCTTTAGCAGATAGTTGATCTATTTCAAGTCTTCTGGACTTCTTCTGTTTTCTCATTGTGAACATTGTCTTGGTTATATTTGAATGTTTTTCTTAATATTTACCCCAAAGACAAAATGGTTTTGAAGAATGCAAGAAAGAAATGAGAGGGCAGACCTAGAAAAATATCTCCCAGTGCAACTGAATGGCCCTCTTTCTAATTGAATGCTATTAGGAAAAGGAAAAAAGGACTTAATCTAATTTTAAATGTTAAACAAAGATCATTAATGTATTTATAAATACCACCTCATCCCAGGTACCACTTGTTCTTTACTTTCTCAGAACCCTAATGTCTGGGGCATGAAGGGCCATCTCTATTTTTTAAGTGGAAATCATGCTGAGGCCAAGGCATGCTATGAGCGAACCATTAGTTTTGTAGTGGATGCTTCTGAGATGCACTTCATCTTCCTGCGACTGGGACACATCTATCTGGAAGAGAAAGAGGTGAGGGATACAGGATGGGGAGTAACCATGTAAATAAATCAGGTTATGGTCTGAGACCTGACTACAGTTCAAGCATTAGCATTCATCTGTGTGGACTACACATACTCATATAATAATGATACTTTTACATCCAAAAGTAAAGTGACTTGACCAACATTAGATAAACTAGTAATTAATAGAATCAGGATTCAAACCCAGGCAGTCCAATACTACAGTCTGTGGTTTTAACCACTATGATACTAAAAAGCTGTATCATAAATGTATACATTTATACAATAAACGTTATTGTAGTTACTATTTAAGCAAACTTCCTTTTATTAGCAGTAGTAAAAACATTCTTAGCTTGACTTTATTAATGGAAAATATCAAAAGACCTTCTCCAAACTTCTTCCTCAGCACAGAGGTTTATAGTTTATTTGGCTGAGGGTAGCTAGCCCCATTCCACAGGACAGTCTGACCTGACTCTTTAGTAATTACTGTCCATATTTTAGGAACCACCCCAAGACCTTCTAAAAGAAACTTTCTGTTATGGAAAATTTCAAATACATATAAAATAGAATAGTAGAATGAACCAACATGGGCTAACCATCCCATGTTAACAATTATCAATATTTTGCCAAAGTCCTTTTGATTCTGTTTTTGTTTTGACTTCATTCCATTTCTCCCTCCAGAACACCCAATTTTCTTTCTATATAAAATAAAACAAGAGCAACAAGAAATTACAATGCATTATAATGTAAGTATGATGGCTCACAGAGGCTTGAGAGAGAAAAATCACTATCCCATTGCAGTGTACTTCCCTGAAAGAAACTTTCCTTTCTGACATCATTGCAAGCTGCATCTGAATAGAGCTTCTGACTTATGTAGTCAAGGCAAGCAATTTCCCTAGGCAAGCAATTCTTAGGCTATTTGCTGAGGCTTACCTATAGTTGCATCTCTCACATTGGAGATACAAGACAAGAAATAATCTACTTCTTTTGAAAAATTTTTTTTAGTTTTTCTTAATGTTTCCTGTATCACTCAGTGCTAAAAAGAGATAAGCTAGCAAACCATGAAGAAACATAAAGGAAGCTTAAATAGATATTACTAAGTGAAAGAAGCCAATCTGAGAAGGGTACATATTGTATGATTCCAACTGTATGACATTCTGGAAAAGACAAAACTATGGAGATAGTAAAGAAATCAGTGATTGGGTTGGGGAAGGGAAGTGATGAATAGATGGAGCACAGAGGATTTTTAGGACAGTGAAAATACTCTAATAATGGATACATGTCATTATACATTTGTCCAAACCTATGGAATGTATAACATCAAATGCAAACCTTAAGGTAAACCATGGGCTTTAGGTGATGAAGATGTATTAGCATAGTTTCATCAGTTGTAACAACGGTACCACTCTGATGGGGCATGTTGATAATGGGAGAGGCTATGCATATGCAGCAGCAGGATGTATATGAGAAATCTCTGTACCTTCCTCTCAATTTTGCTGTGAACCTAAAACTTCTCTAAACAAACAAACAAACAAAAAAAACAATTTAAGGGTTCCTTTAACTTAGATTGGTCTTTGGTACAACTACAGATGCCCCATGACTAACTTAGCAATACAACATTTGAAACTTCCAGAAGAACAATAGCTTAGGGGCGCTTTCTTTCTACAGTATGAAAAGGCAAAGAAAACCTACCTGCAAGCCTGTAAGAGATCACCTTCGTGCCTTACCTGGCTAGGACTGGGAATCGCCTGTTATCGGGTAAGAGGGTGAAGGCTCAAGACTGTGAATACAGTTGACCTTGATTCCTTGGTCTTCTAAGCACCCTGGACATTTAATGATGGTGGGAAGATTTACTTTTCAAAGGTGTTCAGTAAACTAAACAATCTGTACTATAAGAAAAAAATTCTTTAAAAACTCGCACAAAAACCGGAACCAGGAAGTTATATAATAAAAAATTTCATGTTATTTGGTACAGAAACTCTTAATTTTATGATGTTATCTGTAAGGGGAAAGTGATATGACAAATGAAGAATCTACTCAATTAAATTAAAGAAATTGATTGATTCTTATTAAGCTCTATGGCCCTTCTGTATTCAGGAGGAGATGCTACAGCTTCTGGTAGATTTTTTACTCCACGACCCCTAAAAACTCTCCAGTCACCCTTTCCTTTTTTTTCTTACAATATTTGAAAGAGGCATGCATCCTGCTATTCATGTCTAATTTCTTCAATGTATTCTTGATTCTAACCCTCTCATTTTCTCCTAATAACTTACTCTCTTATTTTTTTCTTTTTATTTTATCCTTCCCTTCTCAACTCTTTCCCCATACTTTCCCCCTTCTTATTTAACCACAGTGATAACAACCAAATGAATTGTCTGTGTTTCCTGTCTCCTCTTCCTTATTGCTGTTTTTTTGAGCATGAAGGTAATATATATTCATTATGGAACATTTAGAAGATACAAAATGTGAAGAAAACATAAAAGCATCCGTAATCCAACCATTCAGTGATAAGCACTGTCAACATTTGAATGCATTTTACTGCAGTCTTTTTTATACATATATGAAAGTAATTTTAATGTATAAAATTGTAAATAATATATTTACTGCTTTGTAATCTTTTTTTTCTACTTAAACAGTATAGCATTGATATCTTCTCACATCACCAAAGAGTCTATAACACGATTTCTGATGACTTCTTGGTGTCCCCTTGTTTGGATGCATAAATGAAGTGACCATGTAATTTGTCTTACTGACCAGAAACTAAAGAAAACACCTTGGATTAAGCCATGCCACTAAGATGTTTAAGTAATCCCTACTCCCTACCAGCGTTTTAGTCATACTATACCTATGTGTGGACATACCGTAGTTTATCTGATCACTCATTATTGGACATGTTAGTTTCTACAATTATACTATTATAAATGAAGCTGAGATAAACGTTCTTGGACATAAATCTCTATGCTTAATTCTGATTATTTCCTTAAGATCCATCCTTAAAGAATGTAGAAGATTTTAAAAGTCTTTAAATTACAGTATCAATGTGCCCCTAGAAAGGGTATGTACTGATTTATACTCTGCCAGAAGGTATGAGAGTACATTTCACTGTTACCTCATTGAAAGTGGGTAATATCATTTGCCAATTTGATAGGTATCTTAATTTGCATTTTCATCATGAATGAGGTTGAAATCATGTGATGTGTGTATTTCTTTACTTGTGAATTATCTGTTCATATCCCAGGTCCCATTTACATTTCACTTCATTGCAATTAGGCTTACCACTTTACCACTTTACCTTTACCAACTTACTGACCCTTCTGACAGAAGTTCCTGATAACATCCTAATTGCCAGATGCCACAGACACTTAGGTTAAGTCTCTCTGAAGCTTAACTCCATTGAGTGCCTTCTTCCTGAAGCCCTCTCCTCCCTAGGTTTCCATAATACTTCATTTACATCCTTCCAGTTCCATGCCTTCCTCTCTGGTATCTCTTTTTCAGCCTTTTTTTTTTTTTTTTTTTTTTTTTTTGCCAGCTCCTAGTTTTTTTAGCCACCATAATTGTTGGGTCCCCCCACCCCCACTCGGAGTTCTATAGTCAGCCCTCTTTTTCTGTCACCATATTTATTCCCTAAGAAATAACATCTATCCCAGTGGCCTTAACTACCACTTGTGCCCCAATGAATTATAAACCTTTAATGCATAACACTTTTCTTTTTTTTTTTTAATTTTTTTTCAACGTTTATTTATTTTTGGGACAGAGAGAGACAGAGCATGAACAGGGAGGGGGCAGAGAGAGAGGGAGACACAGAATGGGAAACAGGCTCCAGACTCTGAGCCACCAGCCCAGAGCCCGACGCGGGGCTCGAACTCACGGACCGCGAGATCGTGACCTGGCTGAAGTCGGACGCCTAACCGACTGCGCCACCCAGGCGCCCCTGCATAACACTTTTCAAGTTCTGACCTTTAAACAGTGTAAAATACACCTCAAAATGTGCATAACTGAAATATAACCTATCTCTGAAGGATTCTCATATTCTGAAAGCCTACCCCTTCTCCTGTATTCCATGTCTTCATGAATGGGACTGTAATGAACCCAATCAACCAAGCCAGAAACTTAAAAGCTGTCCTAGGGGCGCCTGGGTGGCTCAGTCGGTTAAGCGGCGGACTTCGGCTCAGGTCATGATCTCACGGTCTGTGGGTTTGAGCCCCGCGTCAGGCTCTGTGCTGAAAGCTCAGAGCCTGGAGCCTGTTTCGGATTCTGTGTCTCCCTCTCTCTGACCCTCCCCCGTTCATGCTCTGTCTCTCTCTGTCTCAAAAATAAATAAATGTTAAAAAAGCTGTCCTAGTCTACTTCTCCTATTACTTTTAACTAGGCACCAAATATCCTATTGATTTTATCTCCTAAATGTCTCTTAAGTCTGTTGTCTCCTCTCATCCCTATTTTTACAGCTCTAATTCAAGCCTCATCCCTCATCTTCTAGGGTAATCTGTCTTCCTTCAATTCATCTCCCACATTGTTATCAAAGTGGTCTTTAAAATCTGGAAATACTATGTTACTCCCCTACTTAAACCATTCAATGGCTATCCTTATTTCAGAATAAAATTTACATTCCTTTGAATGAATACATATGATCTGGTCTCACCTAACACTTTAGTTTCATTTGCTTACTGTCTTTTCCCTAATCTCTCTCTTTTCTCCAGACACACAAGAATACTTAAGAGTTTCCTGACCACACCACACTCTCTTGTGCCTCCATGCCTTTGCATATGATATTGCTTTCACCTGGAATGCCTTTCTTCACCTTGTACAGCTAACAAACTCCTTTTTATTCTTCAAGATTCACTTTAGAGCTGCCCTTTAATTTCAGTGCAGAAATATTCCCATTTTCCTATTTCCCTCCACTAGATCATATATATGCTTTTATTACAGAAATGTTTATTCTGTATTGGAACTATTTATGTGTTTGGGTTTTCATTTTGTTTTATTTATTTCTTTACATATCTGTCAGTGAACCCTTTGAGGGTAAAGCTTGTATGTTATCTTTTTATTCACAGTACCTGGTATACTGAATAAATCATTAGCAAGTATAATTGATTGAATAATGTTGGTTGAATAATGAATCAATACATTGATTGAATATTGATTCAATATTTTAGAGACATTTAAGGTGTGGACCAAAGTCTGGGCATTGCTTAAAAGTCATTCTTCATATTGTCTTGGGCCTGGAAACCCATACTTTTCTTTTCTAAAACAGAAAAAAAGAAGAGCTATTTTACTAGGGAGAAGAGTGACTTATTTCTTTCTCAGGTGACCTTTTGGAAGATTTTACAAAGCAAACTTACTTTTAGGAAGCAGCAATGATACCCATGTGTCCAGAGCTCAGGGAGAATTTTAGAGTCTGAATATTGTATTGATTCCTCAAGACTGTGCTGTCAATAACTAATATTAGGGGAAAGGAAGCTGTCTGAGCAATAGTATTTTGGCAGGCTAATGGGACTTTAACCTTAAGAAAGGGGTGCATGATGTAAAGGAAGAAACCACAAATGTATCTGACAGCCTACTGTGTATTGGAAAATCACTGAATGATGCACACACAATAGTGAATACTTCTGGTTTTCCAATCTTGGCACCTGAAGCTCCATGGTTCAGGGAGGCCCTGATGGGACTGCTGTAGAGGAAAGGAGGAAGAGAGGGGTGTAAGTTGAGAGCCTAGCAGGCAGGACTCCAGTTTGCTCTACCTGGATTTTTAATCAGAGCAGTTCTGCTTTTAACAGGTTGGGCTACCACATAAGATTTTGTTTGAAGAAAGAGTTCTGCTAAAAATTAAAAAATTGAAAACTGTTTGTATAGGTCACACACACCAATGTTATTTGAACATAATGTTTTCAACTACACTAACTCCAGCTGGCTTAAGGGAAAACTTCTTTGACTTAACTCATACTTTTCTTTTTTCTGTCAAGCTGGAGGAGCTTTCGGAAGCTGAAGATGCTCTCTCTGAAGCCAATGCATTGAACAACCACAATGCTGAAGTATGGGCATATTTGGCTCTGGTCAGCCTAAAAGTGAGTGTTTATTAGCCTTACACAGTGCCCTTTTAGGGCAATGAGGTGAGGAACTAAGTAAAGCAAGAGATAGGTAGGTGGCCATTAATGCATGATAGTTGAGATTTAGTGAGTTTCTGATTTGGTGATTATACTTATGAGAAAGGAGAGGCCAAGTCTGAGAAGCTGCTACTTGGAATGTGCTTAAAAGTCATATACTCAGGTGTGTTTGTATGGAAACTGAGAGCAAGTCACTTGGGCTTGTTGGTCATAGGTGAGCAGGAGTGGGGTGGGCCAGGACTGATTGTCATCCAGTGTTATGGGTTGGGTGGTCTCTCTGTGTTACTTTTAAGCTGCTCTGCAGTCCCTGGGCAGGGTGTACTAACCAGCCCAGCTCTGTGCATCCCTTTCCTCAAGATGAAGGATATAGTGATCAGAGTCTGGCCTAGGGTTGGGATTAGGAATGCTGAATGGGGAGCTGTGTGAGGGCAGTGACTGATGGTACAGTGGGATGGCAGATGATACTAGGGGGTGGTGGCCATTCTCCTGCTGCCTCCTTGATGCCTCTTGGCCTGCCTGAGCTCTCAAGCCTGGGACATTGGTATGCATTCCTTGTATAGTCATTCAAACCATGAATCTATAAAAAAATTCCTCCATATCCTCTCTCATCTCCCCCTTTGTTAGTTGTGTATGACCCAGAAAAGCTATATAAGAATCTACTGATAAAAATAAAGGCTGATGAGGATGCCTGGGTGGCTTAGTTGGTTAAGTGTCCACCTCTTGATTTCTGCTCAGGTCATTATCTCATGGTTTGTGAGACGGAGCCCCATGTTGGGCTCTGCACTGACAGCAAAGAGCCTGCTTAGGATTCTCTCTCTCTCTCTCTCTCTCTCTCTCTCTGCCCCTACCCTGCTCACTCTCTCTCTCAAAATAAATAAATAAATAAATAAATAAATAAATAAACAAACATTTAAAAAAATAAAGGCTAATGATAAAGGTGCAAACACAAATGCATTACCAAAAAACACAAATAGATTATTCAACAGAAATCTCTGACACACTAGAGCAATTTTTCCCAGAGAGTCCATTGTCTGGTAACTACAAAGCGTCTTCTTTGCAGTTGTCTCTCATTTTTTTTCTCTGAGATAAGAATTTGGGATAGTCTAGACATTTACCTGATACTAATCAGTAAATATATGTTATTTATATTTAAAAGGTGTTTAGTTATATTTAACGACTTCACTCCTGAGTTTGCTTTTCATCAAAGTAGTTTGCTTTTCAAAAGAATAAATACATTGACGGGCGCCTGGGTGGCTCAATTAGTTAAGTGGCCGATTTTGGCTCAGGTCATGATCTTGTGGTTCGTGACTTCAAGCCCCACATCGGGCTCTGTGCTGACAGCTCAGAGCCTGGAGCCTGCTTCATATTCTGTGTCTCCCTCTCTCTCTTCTCCTTCCCTGCTTGCACTCTGTCTCTCTCTCTCTAAAAAATAAACATTAAAAAAATTTTTTTAAATAAATAAATACATTTTTAAAATGGGAGTGCTCTTGTATCAGAATGTAAACAAGGCCAAAGGTCAGTGAAGGACATGCTCTACTAGACTTTCTGAAACATGCCTTCCTGTCAAACTTCTGGCTGAAGGTGCTTATCCTTGACATATATGGGAGATTAGGAAGGGCGTATTATGGGAGTTGTGATAGCTACTTTACCTATAGAAAATAACTCTCCTATAATTAAATAATTTGCTCAGCAGTCTAAGATCAAATGGGGAATAATAAGAATGGCGCTTTGTTTTCCAATGGCCAATATGACCTCAAACTGACAGGGAGTATTGTGATTATAAGAGAAATAAACAAAATTAAAATTACTGGTTTTTCTTTTTGGAATAAATGTCTTGAATGTCAATATGGGAGATACCTGAGTTCTTCCCCAACTCTGCCACAACTAACCATGGGAACCTGGGCAAGTCACTTAAAGTTGCTGGACTTCGGGGCACCTGGGTGGCTCAGTCAGGTAAGTGACCAACTTCGGCTCAGGTCATGATCTTGCAGCTCATGAGTTCAAGCCCCATGTCAGGCTCCGTGCTGACAGCTCAGAGCTTGGAGCCTGCTTGGGATTCTGTGTCTCCTTCTCTCTCTTCCCCTACCCTGCTTGTGCTCTCTCTCCCTCTCTCTCTCTCAAAAAATAAACATTAAACAAATTTAAATTAAAAAAAAGTTGCTGGACCTCAATTTCTTTATCTTTAAATTAAAAGGGCCAAAATGGAAAATTTTAATACACATCTTGTAGAAACTGCTAGGTCAAATAGGAAAAAAATTGAGGATATGTAAGATTTGAATTAAAAAAAAAAAAAAAGGTTGACCTCAAACACCAATATAGAACTCTGTGCTTAATAATTAGAGAATACATATTCTTTGCAAGTACAGATGAGTTGTTCTTAAAAGTTGACCATATGCTAGACCACAAAGAGAGATTCAACAAATGCATATAGATCACACTACTAGTGAAATTATATGTAAACAATTAAAACTTATGCCAGAAGACATAGATACATTTAAACTCATACATGTAATTAATTCATAGGTCTAAGAGAAAATCACATGACAATTTCTTGTGGTGGGTAGAGTTCTAAAGATGACCCTCCCCACAAGATTATTCCATCAAATACTAATATAGGTACTGCTGTCAAGGGATTTTGCAGATATGCTTTCTTTGCTGCTGCCTTTCTAGCTCCTTTAGGTGGAAGGTTAGGTTGTATATTTGGGACCTTTCTTGCTTCTTGAAATAGTCCTGAATTGCGACGTATTTTCCTCTTAAGACTGCTTTTGCTGCATCCCAAAGGGTTTGGACTTCTGTGTTCTCATTTTCATTTGTTTCCATATATTTTTTAATTTCTTTTTTAATTTCCTGGTTGACGCATTTGTTCTTTAGTATGATGTTCTTTAACCTCCGTGTATTTGGGGGCTTTCCAGATTTTTTCTTGTGGTTGATTACAAGTTTCATAGTGTTGTGATCTGAAAATATTCATGGTATGATCTCAATCTTTTATACTTGTTGAGGGCTGTTTTGTGATCCAGTATGTGATCTATTTTGGAGAATGTTCCATGTGCACTCGAGAAGAATGTGTATGCTGCTGCTTTTTTTAAAAAATTTTTTTTTCAGCGTTTATTTATTTTTGGGACAGAGAGAGACAGAGCATGAACGGGGGAGGGGCAGAGAGAGAGGGAGACACAGAATCGGAAACAGGCTCCAGGCTCTGAGCCATCAGCCCAGAGCCCGACGCGGGGCTCGAACTCACGGAGCGCGAGATCGTGACCTGGCTGAAGTCTGACGCTTAACCGACTACGCCACCCAGGCGCCCCAGCTGCTGCTTTTGAATAAAATGTTCTGAATATATCTGTTAAGTCCACCTGGTCCAGTGTGTCAGTCAGAGCCTTTCTTTCCTTATTGATTTTCTGCCTAAATTATCTGTCCGTTGCTCTGAGTATTAAAGTCCCCTACAATTATGGTATTATTATCTATACATTTGTTTATGCTTGTGATTAATTGATTTACATCTTTGGATACTTCCACATTGGGGACATGAACATTTACAATTGTTAGCTCTTCTTGATGGGTAGAGCCTTAATTATTATATAATTCCCTTATGCATCTCTTGTTACAGTCTTTATTTTAAAATCTAGTTTGTCTGATATAAGTATGGCTACTCTGCCTTTCTCTTGACATCCATTAGCATGATAGATGGTTCTCCATCCCCTCACTTTCAATGTGCAGGTGTCCTCAGGTCTAAAATGAGTCTCTTGTAGACAGCATATAGATGGATCTAGCTTTTTTTATCCATTCTGATATCCTATTGTTGCAGACTTTGAGTCTGGTGTTCTCTCTTGTCAAGCAAGAGGATGGATGTAGAATTTTATACAAGAGAGGCTAATGTCCAGGAGGAAACGAGAGCCCTGAATAAGGGTCCTTTCTCCATATTTATTAGGATCATAAGGCTTACATACGTGATGGACATGCAGAAAGAGACAATAAAACAGTGATCATTAACTCGTGTGTGAGAGAAAGGGGGTTAGAAGGTATGTGGTGTTAGGGGTTAGGATCAAGACAAATCAAAATCCTGGCGCCGAGCAGATGGCTGTTTACTGCAGGCAACAAGCACCATGTCTATGTATCTTAACTTTTCTAGGGGCTAAGACAGATAGAGCATGCTATCTCAGGGTTAACAAGGCATTTTTTCTTGCTAATTAGCTCTGGGTGCTTTCACCCTGCTTCAGGGGCTTTCAGCCTCTACCTGTTCTCACTTTCATCCTGTGGAAGCAACTTTCTGCTTGATGCTTTGTTCTACACTGAGCATTTTCACCCTGAGGCGGCTTTTCATCCTAAGCCTTGTTAACTCCTTGGTGAAAGCTCAGAGAATTCTTAAATTTATTCCCCACACCCTATGTCTTTTGATTGGGCACTTAGTCCACGTACATTCAGAGGGATTAATGAAAGATATGGATTTAGTGCCAGTGTGTTATCTGTAGGTTTCATGTTTGTAGTGATGTCTCTGGTCCTTTGTAGTCTTTGCTACAAAGAGTAGCCCTGCTACTCTTGCAGGGCTGGTTTATGGTCATGAGCTCATTTAGGTTTTTTTTTTTTTTGTCTGGGAAAGTCTTTATCTCTTCTATTCTGAAGACAGCCTTGCTGGAAAAGGATTCTTGGCTGCATAGTATACCTATTCAGCACATTGAATATTTCCTGCCACTCGCTTCTGGCCTGCCAAGTTTCAGTGGACAGGCCTGCTACTACCCTTATGTGTCTACCCTTGTAGGTTAAGGCCCATTTGTCCCTAGCTGCTTTCAGAATTCTCTCCGTATGTTTGTAGTTTGCCAGTTTCACTATGATATGTCATGGTGTTGACCTATTTTTGTTGATTTTGAAGGGAGTTCTTTGTGCCTTTTGGAGTTGGATGCCTGTTTCTTGGGGAACTTCTCAGCTATAATTTGTGCACATAAACCTTCTTCCCTTTCCTCTTGCTC